GATAAGAACTGTGCAATCATCTGCCAATAATTGAGTCGGATGTGAGATAAATGTGGCAGAAGTGGTAGACCTGATATAAAATCCAATTCACACTTTTTTTTACCAAAATAGATGACGGACATATTTTTTTCTAAAATTGATGGATAAAGAAGGTGCATCTACCAGATGCCATAGACATAACTATTTAGTCATTTTAATTGTTAGAGATCAACCGGCCAGCTTGCAACCCATCCGTACATCTCATGCACGTTTAATGTCAGATTGACGTGAACGTAAACCTACATTCAAAATGCTAACTCTAAACTTTAAAAGTTGCGCCTGGTCGGTCCCGGTAACTGTACTGTACTGTACTGTCCCGGTATCTGTACTGTACTGATTCCCAGTGGATTGAAATCCAGATCGTTAATTATATCAGTTAAGAAATGTTAGGTTAAGTGTAAACCTGGGGGACACCTCATCAGCCCGAGCGTGCAGATGTAGTGTACGTGCCAAGGTTCTTAGCGTATTCTCGTTTAAAGTTGGTGAGTGCAACTGTATTGTCATTGTCGTGCTGTTAGCATTGATATTAGCTAAATTAAATGCAAATATTTTGTGCATCATATTTAAAACGATTGAATAACTGTTCAAATGAAGAAAACGGAAAGTTGGACAAACGCAGTGTAAAATTAGTGAAAATGGATCGGTGTCCCTTATGTGTAATATCATCATCCTTCTAAAACTTGTAGAGGTAGATGTTAAAATACATGTACGCCTTACAAATAGGTAATGGCAAGAGTAAAAAAACGCGACCTTTAGCGTCCAGGAAAAGGTATTCTAGCGGTAGGAGTAGTGCCAGCCGTTGAAAGTACCAAACACCCCCACATGAAGGCGTCATTATTGAAAGGTCATCATTTTCAAAGACTGAAAGATCTTTCAAGCGACACATGTGCGTCTGACAGATCAGTATTTAGGGTCGACGAGAGAGATGTCTGACAGGACCATTCAGAAGTATGTCTGATCTCTTTTGAACCATTCCACAAAGGTCGTGGCCTCAATAGTGCCGTTCCTCGCCTTTGGCAAATCAAAATTAAAGGTTATTTATTGGTACCCTAATACGTTTTGATTTCTTTTAACGAATTGCCTCCAGGTCTCTGTCGTTATCATTTATTCAGGGAGGTCTCTGATTTATTATTTTCCCTTGACAGTTGATTTAAAGCGGCAGAAGTAGGTGTTTGTGCTTGACTAACCCTGCGTTGCGATGAGGAAGAGCGAACTGAATAATTGATAACTGGCTGTATTAATGCTGGGATAAGGAATTGTTAACTCGCGGATAAGTCTAAACAACCACAGTGAAATAAAAATGGTCGTTTGCTGGATAATAAAGTATGCCTATCCCCACTTAAAAATAAGGGGAGCTTTGGCTGCATCCTGTGTAACGTAATAATGTTTCTCTTTTAATCTATTCTACGAGCTTCCATTAATCCATCTGTGGTCTACCCAGCTTAAATGGCATTGTCCTAGAAAATCGTGGTGGTTGGATCTTAGTTACAATAATAGCTGTGGTATCATCATCATCATCATCATCATCAAAGGTTCTCTTCTCTTCAGAGACTGTGGCGAGCGTGGAGGATGCCTGTCACTTCTTCAGTTTGCCTTTATCCTGCCATCTCTCTCTCAGTGTTAGGTTTTACAGGTCTTCTTGTGATAGAATAGAAAATATCGGTGCTTAACATGACCCAGGGCTTTTTTGAGTGGTACGATAGTATGTGAATATAAAGGTTTTTTTGTTTGTTTCCTCGTTCGGACAACGTTCAATAGGAAACCTATTTATTTTTGTGTGAGAATTTGTTTCTACCACAACAGCTATAACACGACTTCATCTTCCCAACATGCATGTAAAAGCGAAATGTGATAAATTAAAATACAGTGTAATTTGATCATCATCTCTTCAACTCGCAATCACACAATAAGAAATCGTATTCAAATCCGATAATGAGCGTTGGCGTCGGGTAAAGTTCGAATCCAAAACCCACTTTTCTCTTAACACGTCAAAATTTGATTAACGCATGGCATTGTGCACCTGGGACGTTGTTTCCTTTTTTGTGAGAGGAGNTCCCTTTAATTATATCAGTTAAGAAATGTTAGGTTAAGTGTAAACCTGGGGGACACCTCATCAGCCCGAGCGTGCAGATGTAGTGTACGTGCCAAGGTTCTTAGCGTATTCGCGTTAAAAGTTGGTGAGTGCAACTGTATTGTCATTGTCGTGCTGTTAGCATTGATATTAGCTAAATTAAATGCAAATATTTTGTGCATCATATTTAAAACGATTGAATAACTGTTCAAATGAAGAAAACGGAAAGTTGGATAAACGCAGTGTAAAATTAGTGAAAATGGATCGGTGTCCCTTCAGTGTAGTATCATCATCCTTCTAAAACTTGTAGAAGTAGATGTGAAAATACATGTACGTCTTACAAATAGGTAATGGCAAGAGTAAAAAAACGCGACCTTTAGCGTCCAGGAAAAGGTATTCTAGCGGTAGGAGTAGTGCCAGCCGTTGAAAGTACCAAACACCCCCACATGAAGGCGTCATTATTGAAAGGTCATCATTTTCAAAGACTGAAAGATCTTTCAAGCGACACATGTGCGTCTGACAGATCAGTATTTAGGGTCGACGAGAGAGATGTCTGACAGGACCATTCAGAAGTATGTCTGATCTCTTTTGAACCATTCCACAAAGGTCGTGGCCTCAATAGTGCCGTTCCTCGCCTTTGGCAAATCAAAATTAAAGGTTATTTATTGGTACCCTAATACGTTTTGATTTCTTTTAACGAATTGCCTCCAGGTCTCTGTCGTTATCATTTATTCAGGGAGGTCTCTGATTTATTATTTTCCCTTGACAGTTGATTTAAAGCGGCAGAAGTAGGTGTTTGTGCTTGACTAACCCTGCGTTGCGATGAGGAAGAGCGAACTGAATAATTGATAACTGGCTGTATTAATGCTGGGATAAGGAATTGTTAACTCGTGGATAAGTCTAAACAACCACAGTGAAATAAAAATGGTCGTTTGCTGGATAATATAGTATGCCTATCCCCACTTAAAAATAAGGGGAGCTTTGGCTACATCCTGTGTAACGTAATAATGTTTCTTTTTTAATCTATTCTACGAGCTTCCATTAATCCATCTGTGGTCTACCCAGCTGTCCGATAACACGTAAAGTTTGCCTTTATTGTGCCATCTCTTTCAGTGTTAGGCTTTACAGGTCTTCTTGCGATAGAATAGAAAATATCGGTGCTTAATGTGTACATAAAGGTTTTTTGTTTGTTTCCTCGTTTGGACAACGTTCAATAGGAAACCTGTTTATTTTTGTGTGAGAATTTGTTTCTACCACAACAGCTATAACACGACTTCATCTTCCCAACATGCATGTAAAAGCGAAATGTGATAAATAAAAATACAGTGTAATTTGATCATCATCTCTTCAACTCGCAATCACACAATAAGAAATCGTATTCAAATCCGATAATGAGCGTTGGCGTCGGGTAAAGTTCGAATCCAAAACCCACTTTTCTCTTAACACGTCAAAATTTGATTAACGCATGGCATTGTGCACCTGGGACGTTGTTTCCTTTTTTGTGAGAGGAGAAAAGGGAATGCACTTTCACCAGCTAGGATTCAAGTAAGACTTACTAATTAAACGAATGAAGGTTTAATTAACACACACACACACACACACACACACACACACACACTATTTGTATAATTTAAAAGCAGGATGTTAAAGAACTGCTAAAACAAACGAGGCTACATTCTGTGTCCGAACAGTGAGAATTGTAATTTGGCTCTATATGCCTTAAGATTGCCAAAGAGAGCTCTTTTAATTAAATGCTAAAGTTCATTTAGAAAAAGAAACAGAACCAATTGGTCACTACTTTTATCCAGACAGAGGGATTCAGCAGAGCGGAACTGAATTTCATGATTGAAATATAAAATGATGATTGGAATATGGGGGGCGGGGGGGGGGGGGTAATCCTAACATAAAGTTAAATTTTATTGTATTATTGTATTTGTGAAAAGAGTAGCATTACATGACCATCTAGTATCCGCCGTGACCATAATTTGAAAGTTGACGCTACGCTATGTTCCCTTTTAAAAACCTTATTTCTTATTTTTTAAGCCCATGTGACATTCCATTGTCAGCACGAATAAATAAATATAATTTTCTTCAAAACAAAATGTTCATACCTCTTTCTTCATTAAGTATACTATACGCTTGATTTATCTTAGATATTGTTATGAAAATGGAAACGTTCCTACACTACAGGTGACAGCATCGTCATTAACGAATATGCCACCATAATGCACACAAAGTCTTACTTTCGTGAATATATCGCTAACACGTTCATTAAAACATCATTCAGAGAGAACCAATTTCGCTATTAGTATGCTATAAGCATGCTATGACAAATGTCAGTTAAGTTAAAATGACGTGTAGAATGTGTAGAAAGGTAGTGTATTAAACAAAACAGGACGTGATAAGCCTATGTAAAACCCGAGAACGGCACACATTTATTCTTATCCAAATACTAGTTCCGATAAACACCTGGTTGAAAAACCCGTCATCTTTATTTCGACGTTTTTTTCTACCATCTTACATTTATACTGGGTTCCCATACCAAGATAATCTAACAGGATCGATCCATCTCCGAGGGGTTTCTCGCTAAATTGCTTTCAGCTTAAGCGACTTAGATATCTGGCACGCCTACTGATGCTGCTAAACGATAATTAATTACCCCCTACCAGATTAAGTAGGCGAAACAGACATTTAAACCGCTTAAGTTGATTGCAATTTAGCGAGAATCCCCTCGGAGATTGATCGTTCCGCAGTTAGTACGATAGGGTCTGGGAATGGTCCCTTAAATTATACAATTAATTGTAACAACGTTAGAAATGTGAGAAATATTGTCAAATTATTAAAAAAATAAGATGGTAAACTCATCAATGTATTTATAATATCGTTACAGGTACAATACAAGGAGGAATTTGGTTTAATGGTGAAAGGATAACATCGGAGAAATAAGTACAATTTTATACCTAAAGGAACAGCCAAATAGTCAACACATTCTCTATGTGCAATGCTTCTTTTGAACATGAGTCTTTGAAGGTATTCCCCTCAGAAGCAGCACGATAGATTGGGAACGTCCTTCAGTTTCGCTCGTAAATTGTAGCATGCACCATTTGTGAGAAAAACTGGATTTTTGCCACTGTTGAAAATATGGAAGTTGAATCCATAAACATGGCAAGGAATTTTGATGATGGATTGTATTCCGTGGGACCAAGATGGACAGCAACATCGATATATAGCATTGACGATGGCGGAATGCCAACCAACAGTACCGTTGAACCAATGAACGAGACTTGCGGTGATTTGCTGTATCTCGGTAAGCAAGCCGAATACAAAGTGCCGATTTACGGTTACCTATCGCCGATTGTGGTCTTATTTACCGTTATTACAAACGTTCTCATTTGCGTTATCCTTCTACGACGACACATGCGTACTCCAACGAACGTCCTTCTGGTATTCATGGCTTTATCTGACCTGTTCACCGGGCTGTTTCCATTGCCTTTTTTGCTCTACGTCTACACAGCTGGGCGCTACGTGGATTATCTGCCGTTTGACACATGCTGGATGTATAAATACCTATTTGAAATTATCCCAACGATATTCCACACGGCCTCTATATGGCTCACTGTTGCCCTTGCTTGCCAGAGGTACGTCTATATCTGCCATTCGACCAGGGCGAGGGAATGGTGTACGATACCAAATGTCATCAAGGCCACGTGCATCATCTATATTCTGAGCATCTTGTCGCAGTTAAGTCGATGCTTGGATACCGATATCACTGCATGTGAGGTGCCATCACTGGTGAATCCTAACGAAACCATTACCACTTGTTTTGAACAGTTGACCCCCTTAATTGAAGCTAACCAAAACCTGTATTATAACATTTTCTTTTGGTACCGTGTTGTTGTCATACACGCCATCCCGTGCGTCACACTCGTAGTCATGAATGCCCTGCTTGTGCGCGCCCTTCGTCGCGCACGGCGTCGTCGTGAGAGGCTCTTGCAGCAGAACAGAAAAAGCGAATGGAAGAAGATTCACGAAAGCAATTGCACCACCCTAATGTTAATTGCCGTCGTTGGTGTATTCCTTGTCGTTGAAGTGCCCATGGCCATTAGCTTCATTCTGTACATCGTGCAGAACACCTTCGAACTTCTTATCCTGACCGACGACACCCAACAGAGTATTTCCATGATAATTAACTTCTTCATCTTATTATCGTACCCGCTCAACTTTTTCATATATTGCGCCATGAGCAGACAGTTCAGAGAGACATTCAAGCAGGTGGTCTTACGACGTCCTGCTGACTTGAAGAAGGATTCTACAAAATACACCACCTTACCGACCACAGTGAACATTGAAAACACTGTGGTCAAAAATGGCAATGGCGTTAGCGGCGATGATTATACGGGGCCTCAATGTAACGAAGAGTCCAAAGTGTGAGTTAAACCCGAGAACTTCTGAAATGGCACCCCACGGTCATCCAGTACCAGACATAGGTGTGCAAAAAATGCTAATTAAAAATGATCCTGCCAACTGTACGTACTAATGTTAAAGACAATCAGCAGGCCTCGGGATGGGTGCGAACAATTACCATGAACACTCTACCATATATTAGGACAAAATTGACAAGAAGGGGATGTTGGCGGTGGTGGCAAACGTGACAAAGTTTCTTTGGAAATTCAAGAACATAAGCCAAGCTTATATTTAAGAGCGAACACGGCCAAGAAGTGTTACGCAAATGATAAGTGCCACTTTAGATAGTCTCAATGTTGTCGATAACGACCTGTCAACCCTTAGTAGCGACCATGGTCGAAAGTTAGTGAAGACAAATGAAATGTTCATATGACAGGATTGAACCCTTCAGAGGAGAGAAACATGTCAAAATATCATGCTTTGTGTGCACTGATCATCATCATAAATGAGGTTGAGGAACTTGAGTGCAGTGATAAACCGTAAGCAGGTTCTTCCTCATGTGATAGTATAGGAATCTGTAAAATATGGCGCAATGAAAGATACCGCAAAAATGACGATGATGTAGGTGCAGTTTAACGTCCGCTCAACGACTAGACAGTCCATGAAGACTTTAAAGGGAATGGTTGTAGAGAAATCAGTGTCGTCATAAATGTTGTCCAGCCTTTTTTGCAAACATTGAGTGGTCGGAGTCGTAATAGATTCACTCGATTTAACAAAGCAAGTGGCGTTCCACTCGATTCCAAATTTTGCTCAGTCTACAGCATGAAGAGAGAGTATCGTTCAATTGAGGAAAGGGTTTTTTTTACTATGATTTACATGTACTAGCTGGTTTTGGAAAGCTTAATCGTGAAAATATCATTCTACCAAGACACTGGAACAATTTGGACTGCCTTACTGTTGGCTGAGCTGCGCTCTGTCACATTGGCTGATGTTAAAAACTTTCTGGTGAGTCTGCTGTGCCCACTGCTAATCAAGTTATCAACATACACTAAATGCTACTGCACTTATTGCCACAATATCACTTGTTGGTATAAACAAGTATATACCAAGTATGATTAAGAACAATGTCAAACGTTGAGTAAATGCGTAGGCTGAATCAATAATGATTTAGAGAATTGTCAAAAGTTGTCTGGTCTTGTACATTGTAAGCGGTGGTGCATGTACAACTGATCCTGTTGTCAGATTGAACCGACTTCTTCGCTAAAAGGGGGAACGTTTTCAATTGAACCTGGAAATGATTTAGATTACACGCGTCCAATTGCATTAACTACGTTTTAGTATAAACGTTATCAAGATGTGATTGATTTAAGAAGCAGCGTTTGCCCGCCAAGTGTATCTTAGAATAAAGACAAATGCAGTTTGGTGTCGCTTGCTGTGTTACGAAAAGCGCTGGCACTAGCACGGCGGACCAACTGAGGCCGACGTTGACAAAAAAATTTACAGTTACACATTGTTGTAGTAACGGATAGTTTAATGCTTTGCGGGGGTATCGTTACTGATAATCAACTCCGCATATAGATGTTGGTACTGATTCATTGTACAAGCGTTGTAAATAGATAACAGTAGAATAGATCTCATTGCTGTGCTCAAGATACGAATGAAAGAAATTATAGTTTAGCTTTGATAACGTGGAAATTAATTTTGTCTCAGAGAAAAATGCTCTAAATAAGCATTTAAATAACGGAGCTTCTTGTAATGACAGCGATATTAGGTAATGTTAACTGGCAACATTTTAGCGCTGGTCCATTTTTCATTAAATATAAATCAAGTGCTAGCAGTTTTATTATATTTAATAATGCAGTACGTGTTTTGTTGTACATCATTCGACATAAAAGGCAAAGTGTACAGTGGTCATATGTGCATAATTTGTCGTGTATTTGTATTTAGGAAATATGCAATCGGTTAGTCTATCTTGGTGAGCTTGCACTAATGAAAACCATCCGAGATAGCCTAAAATGGCGGCCTTCGGCTCTGCGTGACGTTATACGAGACTAGAAAACATGCGAGAATCCGCGTGAAGTGGTGTTTACTTCGTAGCGGTAACTGTCAAATTTAGTGCGCTGAAATTGTATGGAAAGCAAAACAGAAATGACACCTAGAACTTAGTGAATTCGTACTGTTGTGCAATAGGCTGTTATTTTCTAGAACTTGAGAAAAAACAGCCAAAAGAGTATCCGTTGATAAATTCTGTCAGAACTCTATGGTGAGTTGGCCATTATATCCTCCCCAATCTCTTCCAAAATCCCGAGTTCTCGATTGATTTTGCGCTAAGCTGCGAGACTTTGAGCTTTCTCGAATGATTCGCGTGAATTGTGTAAGCACATATTTGTACCTATCTTGACACGAGACTTTACAGGTGTAAATATAAATACGTCTGATATGTTGTTCTATAAATTAACAAAATACCCCTCGAAAAATCAGAAGTAGCAGAAGTATCAACATGTCATTTCAATGTGTGGTGGAGGGGGTATAAAAAGGGCATTTAATCCAGTACAGATGACTATGTGGGCCAATAGTTTTTGTCGTTCTATTTAAAGTTCTTTGTATTAATCAGAAAAAAGATGCGCCAAAATCAGTATTGAAATAGTTGTACTGCACCTTCAGGGTGGAATTTTTAAGCATGCTGGCTCATTAAGACTGGATACTAGGTGTTGGTGTTATTATATGTAAACATGATGTTGATTCAGAAACCATGGTAACAATATGGTATATTTTGCATGAGAAATAAAAATATATAAAACATGAGTGATGGTCGCATGCTCCTACATCGAAACAAGACGAATTCTTTGAATTCTAGAAAACTATCGGATATTTCCATTTGTGTCAACACGTGCGTCAGTTAATACTTGTCCCGATGAAAAAAGATTCACATATATACGGATCACTATTGACATGTGGTCAATCAATATGAACTGGACATGGTGAATGGCAGTAAAACAATATAATATACAGACTACGGCATTTTAAATGACCAACCAGAAGCCTAGAATTCTTCAAGAAGGACAATAATTTCTGTTCACATAAGTGAATATATTACGATCTTGAAGAATTTGACAATTAGAAAAAAAAAGAAGTAGAAATGATTGAAATCTAATTATTAATACTATAATGACACTATCACATGACGCAGTGTAAACAATCTTAAATACACCGCTGTTTGTAAAATGTTACATATATAGAGCCATATCGCCAGAAGTTCCTGTTTTAGTTATACGTCTCAAAATTTGCCACAAACTGTACCTAATGTGATAAGTATTTGGGCTAACTTTGTTTTGAAATCACCAATGTTTTTTAAATAATGTGTAAATGCTCCAAATGTAGCCAATGAAAACACGGTTGTGTTATCAAATTTATCCATGGTTTTGAAATTTAATCTAAATCAAGGAAAAAGGACTTGAAATTGGAAATTGATCTCGTTAAACCAATTAATTTTAAATGACTAATATCCACCAGGGTAACGTTTGACAGGGAAATGAAGATTAATGACGATTTAAAAATGGTTGGCAAATCTTGGACTCATATGGCGCACTTGGTCTTGAAACAGTGAAAGGACGGCAACGGTTTGCTGTATTTCCTTTCACCTACAATAATGACAAGCCGCGATAACCAATCCAATTACATCTGCATCTTCCTACGTAAGCACCAAATTTCGATTTCCTTTTTTAAATCCTAAAGGCAGAAATTAGAAAGACTGTTTTCGATAATAACTGCTAACCCAAGATGCCGTTAGCTCATACCCGGTTTCTGGGACAAGAGAAGAAACATGTGAGCCTCCTTGAAATGTAATCATTTAGAAGTGTGTTGATCAAGATACATGTGAATTTAGCGTGAGCATTATTCCGTCTGCTGAAGTATTCTGGGTGCTAAACAAGCACCAACACTTGTCGTCGTGTCAGGATGATACCATGTCGACTTTTAAGTCCACCTTGATCATTTCCAAGACATGTCATGAGTATTTTTAGCATATACAGGAACGCAAAATAAATTTGTTCAAGCAGCCCGTATAGAGCAGTTTTTGCAATACACATATCTATGATGACCGTTTTCACCTCAAGTTAAGAATTTATCTTTAAACATTGTTATATCAATCATTTGTATTGAAGCAGACAGACATAAATAATGTAACCTCTTAAAGAACATCACAGCATGTGTAAATTATGCAGAATGGCGCGCCATGGCATCGTTGCTTTCGCTGATGTAAAGGTAGAGAAGGGAAATACTTGTGACATTACCAAAGTATAAATTCTCTATTGAGTTTTCGGAAAGCAACGATTTTCATATTGTACGTTTAGCCAAATTAAACTTATTTCACTTCCGAGGTGGACATTCGGCATTTAATTCAAATTATGCTTAACAATGTACGTTTTTTTAATCCATTGATCGCAGCAACAAAGTGCGAATGCAAAAAGGGTTAACCTCCTTCCACGCACTTTTAAAACCAATAACTTCCAAGACAATGGGGCACAAATACTTATTTGGAGGATCACTTAGGCATGCTTCTTGTAACGAACTCAAAATTGTTTCACACTGTAGTATATTTTTAATTTTTCCTTGGCACCGTCGGGACTGAGGGGTTTGTCTGCATTCCAAATTTTAAATAAAGATTGTTCATCCAGCTTCCCCTTGCCTTCTCGAAAAAAGGAGAAAGGGTATTTTAGAGCCTCGAGAAGCAATTCAATGCTATTTGCTAAATATGTGGGAAGAAGGTGTGAATTATGTAGAATCAATTAATTGTTCTCTCCTGTTGATATCCGTTTTTTTTCAATTGAGGGAGTTTCCACGTTGAAAAAAATCAGATTACATTCGAGGAAACCCACAACACTTATCATAATGGACAAATCCATATGTCAATTTTGTGCAATTACTCGTAGAGCGGCTGTAATCACTAAGGGAGTCTACCATGGAACAAGATAGATAAATGGAGTCAGCCAGTTGAAAAGACAGACCAATATACAGCAAGATGATCTATCACACTACTGTGGAACAGGCGACTGAGTTCTTATAGCAAAGTTTCCATGCTTAGCTAGTCCTGTGTCTCAAGCCTTTATTCAAAGGAAGACGATGTGTGACAAACCTCTGAATAATAAATGGTAGTTGACATGGATCTGGTCGACGAAAACTTGAAATGACATGAACATATTGCACCTGGCTCACTGATTTTAGTGCATCAGACCATTACATAATACGAGGGTCTTTCCATTAAATGTAACTACAGAGACTCCTGGTGGAGGGCATTTTCTTGCTATCTGTCTCTGAGAATCGCAAATGGGTTGTAAGGTGATGTCTACATAATCTCTACAGTATACAAGTTGTCTCTCTTCACCTCCGTCAAATTTCATCGATCGCCTAGGTTTTTCGACAATTTTGTTGACCTTTTCGAGTTCATTATAATGTTCA